CAGATGTACTCATGATGACTCCAGTGTGGGCTTAACCTTAGAGAGGGAGGCAGAACATAGGAGTTATATATTTGGGGGGGAAACAGGCCTGTCACATTGCTGGGCTCAGCTCCTGAGATTTGATCAGCTGTGAGCACCAAGGTATGTGTGCTTCCCTCACTGACCTGTTAATGGCTCAAGTGTTTGGCGGTTTGTAGGCTGTATGGAAAAGGAGGGGCTTTCACAGGCTTTTCTCTTTGTCTTGCATTTTCTATTCAGACTATTAGGTCTCTTTAGCTTGGAGAAACGACGACTGAGGGGTGACATGATTGAGGTTTATAAGATTATGCATGGGAAAGAGCAGGTAGAGAAAGAGGTACTTTTCTCCCTTTCTCACAATACAAGAACTTGTGGGCACTCCATGAAATTGCTGAGCGGTTGGGTTAGAATGGATAAGAGGAAGTACTTCTTCACCCAAAGAGTGATTAACACTTGGAATTCACTGCCACAGGAAGTGGTGGCGGCTACAAGCATGGACGGCTTCAAAAGGGAATTAGATAAGCATATGGAGCAGAGGTCCATCACTGGCTATTAGCCACAAGGGAAAGATAGGGACTCTGGGGCAAGTGATGCTCTGTATCTTGGTGCTTGGGGGGGTCAACAGTGGGAGGGCCTTCTAATGTCCTGGCCCCACTGGTGGACCTCCTGATGGCACCTGGTATTTCTGGCCACTGTGTGATACAGAGTGTTGGACTGGATGGGCCTTTGGCCTGATCCAACTTTGGCATCTCTTATGTTCTTATGTTCTTATGACTGGTAGGATTTCTTACATCAGTGCAGGAGAGGTTTGCTTGTCCTTAGTCTGCATGGGGAAGGTCATTCTGTGATTGGAAGGAATGGTGTGCTTTAGCTAAATGGATCCGGTATAGAAGGTTAGGAAGTGATATGAAAGACCTCCTCTACTTGAGAGCTGCTGCCAGTCGGACAGTACTGATCTTCATAGATCAGTGGTCTGACTCTGGCAGCTTCATGTTGTCCAGTAGAAGTGATGTCATGGTGGTGACCAAAGCATTAAATGTTACTTCGCAGTGCTGGCTGGCTGTAGCTGCAAATTTGGCCAGATTATGATGGTAGATTCACACACGTGAACACACTCACGCGTGCACACTAACACACAGCCTTGTGAAGTCGGAAAATTAGGCTGAAGCAATGCTTATGTAGAAAATTGTTTGAGAGGTTAACAGAAGAGGTGGTTCTTGAGAGGTGCACTGAAGTGTATGAAGCAGTAGGAGAGGAACAGAACGACTTTTATTCAAGAGAATGTTTGTGGTGGTACAATTTGAAAAGCAAAAAAGAGGCAGTGAATGCAAGTAAATCCTGAAAATGCAGGTGCATGCAGCAAATACAGGATATCAACAGTAAATACATCAGCGCATACGTTGGCATGCATGTTCTTTCCGGCGACTAAGAATTTTGTTGAGGTGTGTAGGAAATTAAATCCATGGAGTGGGGGCAGAGCGAGGCCCTGGTCTCCTGTTCGTGGTGGCCGGAGGTGCCTGGCCAGTCTTCCTCACTACATGCAGCCTCTGGGCATGGATCCTGGACGTCAGGGGTGTTTCCTCCAGGTGCAGGGGTCCTCCTCGGGTGGTTGCAGTGGGGTTGCTAGCTACTCTGGTTGTCGCAGTGGTAGTGCTGCACTGAAGTCCAGGCGGCTTGATGGGCTTCCTCAAGGGATGGGGAGCAGGCCAGAGCCTGGTCCCGACTCCTGTCTTTCTGGCTTATCCGCTACTGTGGGCCACCTCTGGCCACCTCCAGTCTCTCTGGGCTTGTCCACTGCCATGGGCCACCTCTGGCCTGCTCCTGGAAGGAGGGGGATGAAGTGGCTGGGCCCCTCTCCTCCAGAAGGAGGAGGCGTAGCAGGGTGAGCATGGTGATGGTGGCCCCACTCCTGTGGCTTCAAACACCTTGCACTGATACGGCTTCCAGCAGAGGTCTGCAGCGTGTTTCTTCCTGATTATATCCTTCAGGAGGTGCTCCAGGAACTGCCTCCGGATGGCTTAGATGAGGGAGGGTTCTGGGGGGGTTGCCACGGAGAAGGGGTGGCCACAGGGAATGCTTTTGCGTTCAGAACTATAGTATATTAACCACATCTGCTGATGCAACTGCAGTGTCCTGTCAGCAACTCCCCTGTGGCACATTTTTCAGCTGCAATACTCACTGAATTGCCAATGGCAGACTGTATCTGTATCTTTGAGGGGCTCAATTCTCTTGGAATGGCTCTTTATATGAAGGCCTGGAGTGTATAACAAAGAGCTTGCTTTGACTGTTCTGCTGAGTCCTATGCCTTTTCCTGGAATGGTTACCCATAAATGTGAAATACTACAGATTTTGAAAAATCATGGCAGACAAGAAAATTGAAAAACGCAATTGGAAATTGAGCTTTAGTTTATTTTTCTTTGAAAAGCTATCAAATTTTCAGACTTGTCTTTGCAATCACGCTTTCCAGAAATATATTTTTTAAAAACTAAAACCGCAGTTTTCGTGATTATCTGTAAGAATCCAGGGGGTTGTATGTGACCCATGGTGCGACCATGTCAGCAGCCGGGAAGCTTGTCATTTTGCATTATGACTCATAAACAGAACATTTATTTTTCTTGGAGCTAAAGTTCTTTCCACAAAGCTGAAGAGAATGCTTTTTGTATTTAACTCCAGTCCTAATCTGGGACCAGTGGTATCCCATCTCTACGAGATGTTGGGGGGGGGGGCGCGGTATTTGCTGTGGAGGAATAGCCTGTGTCAAAGTACAATACTATTCTTCTGACTTTTCATGCACATGTATGTTTCTGGGTTTTATTGGTTGCTTTTTTAATGGTTAATTTTAATGATTTTATGTCTTTATGAGCCACCATGAATTGGTCTCTGAAGAGGCAGAATATAAATGTTTTAAATAAATACCCAATTTTCCACGCACTTTTCCAAACTGAGTGATGGGAAGATGTGGTTTCTCAGCAACATGTGTTTCTTGGGGGGCGGGATACCTAGATTGCAACAGTAACGAATATTCTCATTCTGCAGTTTGACCACCAAAATAGACTGTGCTGGGAGGTCTTCAAAGATGTGAAAAGTGGTGTGGTGGAAGGAACAGCCCACATTGAGTCCTGGGGAGAAAAGACAGGACTGTGTTGGGTTCCTCTAGTTTCAAGAGAGGCTGTGCTAATCTTGCAACATGAGAGAGGAAGGAGAAAGTGTGAATCAGATCAGATAGAGCCATATAAACTTGTTAAGAATGAAGTAGATAAGGACTATAAAGCACTTAGTACACTAAAATGCTATAGTCAGATCAAATATTTATGAACTGTACAGTGGCGTGAAGTCATAGCACATCAGTGTTTGTGTAATGTGAAACATGAAACTTTGATAAAGTACAAGTATTAAAAAAAAACTTGATAGGAATGGTCAATAATATATGCTGAATGACTTTCAGATGACAAAATCTTACCAACTACAGTGATTAATGCACAATATGAGTTTTAAATTTTTAGATGTCATGTTAATATGTATACTTTGCTTTGCCATTGTTTCTGATCTCTGTTTGGTTCGAGATTTCTACAAATCAGATTCTGTTGCACTATCTGTTAGATGTCCCATCCTGTTGATTGTATTGACGCGTTCTGTGAAATCTGCCAAAAAAGATATATATATATATATATATATCTTTTTTAAAAACTAAAACTGCAGTTTTCGTGATTATCTGTAAGAATCCAGGGGGTTGTATGTGACCCATGGTGGGACTATGTCAGATCTTTGAAGACAAGATCTTTGAAGACAAGGGGTCCGGGTTAAAACCTTAATGTGGACCAGATGGATTCTCCGTCAATACTCTGTTCAACAAATAATGGAAGCATTCCCTTCATGCTTACATTATATTATTTACTCTGTCAGATTGGGGGAAACTCAGTCCTTGACATCTGAGGTACTGGTTTCCTTCCATTTAGTTCCCCAGCTTCTGCGTTTTAGCCTTTGATCTTACCTGAGTAGAGATGGAATCCTTTGTGCAGGTTTCTCCTCCTCTGTCCTTTTCCACTCTGAGTTTTGCTTACTTCAGAGCTTCCATTGCTGCATTTGTTTGTTGCTTTGTGGATTTATTCATCCCAGTTTTTCCATTATGGATGCACCCTGGAGGATATGTGTGAGGGGAGGCATAATGGCAGAAGGAATACAGATTTTTGTCCAGCAGGCTGCTGTGTTAAGTGTATGAAAGTACAAGACAGTGGCTGGGATCCAGCAGTGTGCAAGGGGAAACATAAAGGAACTTAGCGGAGTTCTGCTTGCGCCATATCTTGGTGACATATATGATAGTGCCCAGAAACTGGTTGCACAGGATCTTGCGCGATTGGAAATGCAAGGAGGGATACAATAAGTGGTCTTTTTCTTGCATTTCAGCTCACACAAAAGCTGTAGCACAAGGAGAAATTTTGTGCCAGATCCAACCCAATTACACTCAGGTCTGTTAGTAAGAAGCTTTGGGTGGGATCCAACCAGGTTTTCTGCTAGTGAAACAGAAAGGACCACCAAAAAAGACTGTGCTGGAGGTCTTTGAACCTGCATGAACAAAAACCATATGACAGAAATTATAGTAAAGAGGGGAATTAGGCAAGATGGAGTGCATATCACCAAAGTAAAACAAGAGGGATCATTTCCTTCATTTATCATGAATGTGTTTCCAAAGAAATCAACAAGGAGATGCTGGTTAAAGCCTTTATCTGACATCATGTTGACAAGAAACTTAAAATAATCGCCGGGGTCAGGTTATACTTTAAAATGTGTATGCTCTGTGTGAAAAACTATCCATCTTGATTCTGTGCAATGGTGTTCACACAGATTTCAAATACACATCCCAGTACATACACGTCCCCACCACTATACATAAATCTGAAGAATGTATCCGTCGTATTACTCTCTGTTGGGGATTTTAAATCCTGGCTCCCCATTAATTGCATCTTTTCTGTTTCACTTTTCAGGGTGCTAGCAGTGAAGTGAAGCACTGAAAATCCACCAAAAATGAAAGAGTCCTACACGCTTGCGCAAGGTGCTGTGACGACAGGCAGCAGCCCCCAAGACAGGTATGGTTGGGGCATAAGATGCAGGCAAGATGCATTTTCCTGCTGCAATATTTGCTAAACACTGTACAGAACATTTCCTCAAAGTTCTGAAGATACTACTTTTATCCCTACATGGATATCATCTTCCTGTAAAGGAAAAAAGTTATACCCTATAATTCGAAAAGTATATGTTGTGAGTGTTTTGTGACCCCAGTGTTACTGGGGCTGGGTCAGACATAATCTGGGAGATTCCATTGCTGAGGATGCCTCCTAACCCTCACCCCCGCCATATGCTGACAAGGATCATTACCTGAGCAGCAGGGACAAGAAAGGGAAATGTCATGGCACTTCCATTCTGCCTCCTGCTTCTTGTAGGCTTTACCCATAACAGAGGCAGGCACTGTGCCACCAGAGGGAAGCAAAATGCTTAGCAGCAGCAGCCCTGCAGAAGTGTTTTTTTATTCTCCTGTGTCTTGTTATGCAGGGGCCCAAACACAGAAAATTACAGTGCTTGCAAAGCAGCCCAAGTGCCCCCCTTTCCCCTAGAAGTCAGTCTCTGCTGTGCCTGTGCTGTGGTTTTTAAGCCCCTTTGCCCCTGTCGTTGTCATTTTAACTACCATCTAGCCCCTCCTTTACTACAAACATGTGACCTGTTTCCTTCCATTTCAAGGTATGGATTTATGGACAGTTCCCAGTGGGTGCAGTGAGTGCCTTTCTGCTCTGTTCTTTTGTAACACTGACAAAATGTAGTCGGGGTGGGGGTGGCTATCAGTTTATAGCCTCCGTGCATCCTGGCAACTTACTATTAGTGCCCCTAATTTTGCATTTTGTTTGCCAATCTCTGTATCAGTAAATGGTACAGTCCAGCTGCATACATTCCTAACCTTCTGAAAAAGGGCTCCTTTCAGCTTTTAGCAGTGTCTGTGCCATACCCTTATTTGTTTATTGATCTGGACTTGTATTATTATTATTTTTATTTATACCTTACTTTTCTCTCCAATCGGGTCCCAAAATGGCTTACAACAGCATCCTCCCCTCTTCCATTTTATCCTCACAACCTCGTGAGGTAGGTTAGGCTGAGAGTGTGTGACTGGCTCAGTGTTATCCAGCAATCTTTCATAGCAGAGTGGGGATTTGAACCTGGGTCTCTTAGATCCTAGGTTGACACTCTAATCCAGGGGTCCCCAACGTGACAGCCATGGGCACCTTAGCACCAGTGTTCCCTCCAAGCTGAGTTAGTGTGAGCTAGTTCACAGTTTTTTAGCCTCCGGCTCACACGTTTTTGTCTTAGCTCAGAAATTTATTTATTTATTTATTTATTTATTTATTTATTTGTTAAATTTATACCCCGCCCTCCCCTGTAGGGCTCAGGGCGGCTTACATGGCAAGAAACTTGCTCATAAAAACATCAATACTTTAGTAGGTTTTAAAAACACAATATACAATTTAAAACCCAAACAACAATAAAGTGCTCAGACTACACAGCAGCCATTCCAAAAAGAATCAGAGAGGAGAGACTACACACCCAAACATCCCCCAGTAGGCATTGTGTAATGGATGTTAAAGGCTCCAGAGCAAAGTTGATTTATGCAGTAGCCAAATGGCTCACTCACAACTTTAATGCCAGTGGCTCACAAAGTAGAATTTTTGCTCACCAGACTCCACATCTTAGAGGGAGCATTGCTTAGCACCCATCAATACCTTTCCTGGCACCTGCCACGTGTTTTTAGAAAGTGAGCAGGGCCAGGTTGGGCTTTTGCCCAGCAAGGCTTCTGGTTGTCTGTCGGAGATTTTAGGGTGCAACCACAGCCCAAAGATCTTCACTGCATGACTGAAGGTAAGCTGTGTGTATGAAAGCCTCTTCTTCTCCAAGGGGAGCAGAAGCAATAGGAGATAATTGTGACAACTAAACATCACCCTCTAGTCTAAGGGTCCAGCTTAGACTCCACTGATATTCCTTTTTTCTTTCTCTGGCAGGTATAAGGCCGTTTGGCTGATCTTTTTCATACTCGGCCTGGGGACGCTCTTGCCATGGAATTTTTTCATGACAGCTACGCTGGTGAGTTCACAAGTGCTGGGACTAGTGTTGGCCTCCCCAGGTCAAAGGATTTCCTGAGATGGGTATACCACACTAGGGAGTACTGGCGAGCTACGTGAAAGACTGAAAGGGACTTCGAGAAATTTAGCCAGATGTCGGCTGCATCCTTCAGCCAGTGCCCTTTCAAGCAGGCAGTCCCGGTGCAGCATTGATTCCCCCCCCCCTTTCTCTTTCAATTAGTGAGCAATTCCTCTTTCAATAAATGGGCAATAAGTGGTGCACCTTGCACAGTAGCCGATGCGTGTGGGGAAGTCCCAGAAGTTAGTCCATTACCTGAGCACTGTAAAGTCTTCC